AACCTGGGTCCTTTGGTTTGCGAGGCGAGTGCTCTAACCACTAAGTTACAGGACTCCACAAAGGAAACTCAGATGTATCTCTCTCTCTCTCTCTCCCCCTCGTTGCCCGAGATGAGGCTTTATATAAGCGCTGGGTGGGTGACCACTGCTCAGCCAACGATTAGAGGGATTCAGCGAGATATCTCAACGTGATTGTAACAGAAAGCCGGTGAGTGTATGAAACAGTGGAAAATGTAATCAGCCACCCAATCCAGCTGAAATTCACAAGCAATAATGTGCAGTAGGTGTGAAAGCCTCCCTTAAGCTCCAGAGGATAAGGGCCGCTTGTTAGTGACTTACAAATAGGCCGACCAAAGGGTGCAGCTACGTCATAAGCTGTAGCAGAAAAACTCTCCAGAGATTGATCTGACTTAGACTGGATTTTCATGCCTTTTCTGCATTAAATTCGCTGAGAAACGTCCAAAATACATCAGCTATCAGATCACTTCAATTGCAAGAAAAATCCTAACACTTATAATAATACTAATCCTTTGCGTTTGATGTACAATCCAATCCAATCCAAAATGACGTTTGCACGGCGCCTTTCATGTTGGGAGGACGTCCCAAGGTGCCAGCTGGACAAGCAGCAGGAAAGCTTGGCCAGACAGCGATATCAATGACAAGCTATGTGGCTTTAGTTGGTTAGACTCCAGCAATTTCCCCAACACGCACTCCAGGGTCCCCAAGCCTTGGCTCTTGCTATCCTCCGCCTAAGACTCTGTGGAATTAGGTAAGCAGGGTGCATCCCTCCAGCGAGAGGGAATGAAGATTACAATCCAATACATGGAGAATATATGTGTAGTTTGGATACTCGTAGCGCAGTTTAGCAGATATAAATTGGACATTTTTACTGTTTGTGGGATGTTGCTGTGCACAAACCCGCTGCCACATGCCTCTGCCTACAAAACACAGGGTCAATCAATTTCTCCCCCACCCCCCGTGATCCTAACTTCAGCTTGAGTCCAAATCCCTGACCATCCAGAGCCTTGGGATGTCCTCCCAATGTAAACGCAAGGATTGTAAACAGTTCCGTGGCCTTGAGCAGCTGCTAATTTTTCGCAATAAATTGCTCTGCATGTTTAACCTGACACCAGCTGGGCAATTTAAAACATTAAGAGATGAAGCACTGGAGAGTGTTTAATATCTCTGAACCTGTCTCCATAAAATGTTAATCCCGTACATCCAAATTATACTCATTCAGGGTAGTTAGGAGGTGGAGCCATCAAATATGATGACTAGATTGTCTGCCACAATGATTTGTTAATGTGTGTGTGTGGGGGGGGGGGGGGATAGCAATTGGGCGAGTACACAGTACATTTCCAAAACTAACGTTTAGATGTCAACGCACCACAAAACTACAGCATTAAATGATTTTTATCTTAAAATCTGCCCTGAAATTTTTAATTTTAAACACCTAGTCAGGGTGACACAAGTTTCCTTACCCCACACGCCTCTGTTTACCAGCAGTAAGTAGGAACCCGGTTGTTAGTCGATTGGCGGATCGTTTTTCTGGAGGTAATGATCCCTCCCGACCATAATAGTAATAATAAAAATGTAGTCACTCAATCCATGACTGTTTGTGGGACGCTGCTGTGGCGATTGGCTGCCGCGTTTCGCCCACAAAATTACATAGTATAGCCCAGAAACAGGCCATTCGGCCCAACTGGTCTATGCGGTGTTTATGCTCCACGTGAGTCTCCTCCTGCCCTTCCTCAACTAAGCCTTCAAGCATAACCTTCTATTCCTTTCTCCCTCATGTACCTATCTCGCTTCCCCTTAAATACATCTCTGCTGTTTGCCTCAATAACTCCTCGTGGCAGCATGTTCCACATTCCCACTACTCTCTGTGTGAAGAAATTTCTTCTAACTTCCCTATTTGATCTATTTGTGTCTATTTTATATTGATGGCCCCCGGTTTTGGTCTCCCCCACAAGTGGAAACATCGTCCCTATGTCGACCCTATCAAAACCTTTCATCATTTTAAAGACCTCTATCAGGTCACCCCTTACCCTCCTCTTTAAGAGAAAAGAGTCCAAGTATGTTCAGCCTTTCCTAATAGGTATAACCTCTCAGTTCTGGGATCATCCTTGTGAATCTCCTTTGCACCCTCTCCAGTGCCTCTATGTCCTTTCTATAATATGGGGACCAGAACTGCACACAGTATTCCAAGTTCGTTCATTACCCTTCATGGACCCATACTGGCTATTATTCATGATTTTATTTCTGTCCCGATGCTCCATGATTTTATCCTTAATAAGAGTCTCCATAATTTTACCCACAATGGACATCTGTAGTTTAGATCCTGTGCTGGAACAAAGGAAATAACAAATAGGAAATGAATAGCGTGACTTTGAAGGTACTGAGTCCTCAATGAATAATTCACTGCAAACAAAGCAGCCGAGTTAGGTCAAACACTGCTGTGTCAGAATCGGATGTGACTTATAAGTATCCGAGTCTTTTCTGGTCAGGAGGAACATATCACAGTGGAATAATAATTACATAGGAATAAGAGGAGGCCATTCAGCCCCTCAAGCCTGTTCCGCCACGCTACTAGATCATGGCTGATCTGTAGCTCAACTCCAATTACCCGCCTTTGCCCCATATCTGTGTTTCGCCCACAAAATAAAGTCAATTCACTTTACAGTATATTCTGTGAAGCGCTTTGAGACGTCTCAATGACATGATAAGACGTGATATCAAATGCAAGGATTATTATTGTTTGGTCTGACGCCTTTCATGTTGGGAGGATGTCTCAAAGCACTTTTTTTTTACAGCATTTACTGTAAAATGTAGTGACTGTGTATTTTGTAGGTGGACACGATATTGCCCAGAGCAACGTCCCCACTAACAGCCGATGAGTTAATGGATGAAGTTTTATTGTCGGCCAGGACACTGGGAGAGAAAATCTCTGTTTGAATAGGGATAACGCCGTGGGTTATTTGACATCCACTCGAAGAGGCACTTATGGCACTTGGTTTAACGTCTTATCTGAACAACTGACAATGGATCGCCCGCCCGTCCTTGAACCACCCCCACAAAAAAACTGCTTTGAAATGTCATCCGCATACATGCGGAAGTTAATCCCGTGCCTGCAGATATCTCCAAGTGGGAGCATGTAGGTATTAAAAAGGAGAGGACAGAGCCCTGGGGAACGCTGCATGTGACAGAGTTGGGGCTAAAGGAGAAGCCATTTGTTAGGACTCTATCTGATTTAGAGGTGAGAGGGCCACCGACTGAGCCAGGATGACACCTGGACTTCACTTCAGCACTAAAAGAACAAAGAGTTGCACATTTTCAAATCACCTTAGACAAACACAGCTATTTTCGGCACCGAATGAGGTTGTTAATGTCTGTATGATGCAGAAATGACCAACTTTATCAGAGGAAATTGTAGGGTGTGAGAAGGTCGGAGAGGTTGGGAGGTGCCAGGGCGTGAAGTGATTTGTAAGATGGTTTGTACGCTTTACAGAGACGGAGTGGGAACCTGAGAAATCATTAAGAGTCGTGCACTCACACAGCAAAACAGCAGCCTTGTCACAAGAGATGACTCAGATGAAGGTGGCCTTTTGAACGATTTTATCACGTCCTTCCAGAATGTCCAACACAACATCTTAAATGAAGCTTAGCCTCAACAACCCTTCCTGGCAACACTTCCAGCTGTTAATTACTCTGCTGTGTGCTCTCAAATTGCCCTTCACAGCTCTGTATGCGACGAGTTCCTTCATACCCTCACACGTCCCTACCTCCCTGACTTGCTCAACCCCCCCACCCCCACTCCACCACCCGCTGCCTCCGCTCGGCTGCCTCCACCCCCGTTTGTCCCTCGTTCCCTCCGCTCCACCATCGGTGGCCGTGCCTTCAGCCACTACACCCCGAAGCTCTGGAACTCTCTTCCTCAATCCCACCTTCAAATTCCGCCTAAAGACCTTCCGTTTTGATGGTGCTGATGGTCACCTCCCCCCTCCCTCTCCCCCCGGCTCGGGCGTCAGACTCCGCCACTGTCAAGCGCTCCGGGTGTGAAGGGCACTGAATAAATGCAAGTTGTTGCTGCTGTTGTTCCTGGTCCTGTGCATGTTTGCTCTCTATGTTTTTGCTTCTCTCAATCTCAATCTAAACCCTCTCAACCCCCCCACTCACCACAGGATAATCGATTCACTCTCTTCGTGGCTGACTGTGCAGGAGGGAGGGGCTGTGTGCAAATTGGCTGCTGCGTCTGCCTGGAAAATACACAGTCACTTCACTTCACAGTAAATCCTGTGAAGAAGTATTCAACGTGATTAGTCGCTAAATCAAAATGCGAGAATTATTATTATTTTTAACCCCACATCTGTGCCATGATCCGCTCTGCCTTCCCCCACCTCCACAACGTCGCCCGGCTCCGACCCTGTCTCACACCGCAGGCCGCTGAGACCCTCATACACCCATTCATAACATCGAGGCTCGACTACCAAACTCCCTGTTGTCGGCCTCCCCAACTCCTCCCTCCACAGGCTGCAGATCATACAGAACTCTGCAGCCCATGTCCTCTCCCGCACCAAACTCCGTGACCCCATCTCCCCCATCCTCGTCCGACTTCACTGGCTTTCCATCACACAGAGGATACAGTTCAGGATCCTGGTCCTCACCTTCAAAGCCCTCCACGGCCTTGCTCTCCCACCTCTGTGACCTCCTAAACCCCCTACCATCCTGTTCACTCCCACCCCTCAGTGAGCTCTGGTCTGCTTCACGTCCCCCGCTTCACTCGCCCCACCCTTGGCATGCGGGCCTTCCACCATTCTGCCCCCACCCTCTGGATCTCCATCGCGCAGTCCTCCTCCTTCAAGACCCTCCTCTTCAACCATGCTCTTGATCACCCTCCTTTCCCCCCCCCTACCCTCCACCCTCCCTGATCCCGACCCCCAGCTCAGGTCCGAAACACTGACGTCCTCCTGACGTGAAAGACACTGTGCAAATGTAATTGTGTTCTTGTAACAATTTTTAATTATTATAATCTGTGCATTTCATACAGTGCCTTATTAAGTCATTGAGATGTCTCAAAGCGCTTCACAGAATATTCTGTAAAGTAAATTGACTGTATATTTTGTGGGCGAAACACAGCATCCAATTGTGCACACCAGCGTCCCACAATCAGTCGTGGATTGAGTTATCAATTTGTTTTCTTTTGAAGGGAAAAGCAATCCGTCAATTGACTAACAACCGGGTTCCTACTTACTGCTGGTAAACAGGGGAGTGTGGAGTATAGAAAGTTGCCTGAGGTCTCGCCCTGCCCGGGAATCGAACCCAGGTCTCTCACTTGTGAGGCGAGCGCTCTAACCCCTGAGCTACAGGATTCCTCTACAGCGATTTAGTGCTTTAGTGCCTCAGACGTGGTACGTGTGTGCATGTGCGTGAGTCAGTATTTTAAAAGCCTCAGACCTCAAATGCGTTCGGTTGGCTGCGATTGTCCACATATTATTTATATATTTATTTAAAAATCCTTGACTCCTTCTCCTTTCAACACCTGATAAACAAGGCAACCCAGAGCCTGTCAAACACAGCGCACACATACAATTTTCCAATTCACACCAACAGACCATTAAATCACTTCACTCATTCCAATTATCCTGTGGTTGTGTGTGTGTGTAGCTGTATGTGTGTTTGTCGTGTGTTTGTGTGTGTGTGTGTGTGGTTGTGTGTGTGGTTGTGTTTGTGTGTGATACTGAGTGCTTCTGAGCCTATAATAGGGAACCCCAATCCAGCTGGACCTCATGTGGGATGGATGGATTCCGATGTTTGGGAGGTGAGGCCGCCTGTCCCAGGAATACTGAGTAGTTTACAGCTCAGTGTCCAGAGTTGGCTTTGGAGCTCTGCGTCGTACGACACGTCAGAGGAGTTGGTCTTCTGTCCGTTAGCGAGATAGCAACTCCCCACTCCCTCCAGCTCGGGGGCGAGGGCTGCGTGGACCACTGTGGTAGCTCCCTGGGCTGGAGTCTGGAGCAACATAATAATAGATTCCCGTTAGATCCTGCGACATTATGATATAAACCCTTGCATTTGATACAGCGCCTTATCACGTCTTTGCGACGGCTCAAAGCGCTTCACAAGATACACTGTAAAGGGTAGTGACTGTGGGCGAAACGTGGCAGCCAATTACACACAGCAGCGTCCCACAAACAGTCGCAAATTTGAGTGACCAAATGATTATTTTTTTTAAAAAAAATTGAAGGGATTATTACCCCCGGAAAAGAGATCCACCAATTGACGAACAACCGGGTTCCTCCTTACTGCTGGTAAACAGAGGCGTGTGGAGTAAGGAAAGTTGCTGAACGTTTCACCCTGCCTGGGCATCGAACCCAGGTCCTCTGGTTTGCGAGGCAAGTGCTCTCACCATTTAGCTCAAGGACTCCACGATTTACTCGGTGTTGTACATCCACTATTTGGAAACCATCCGACGAATCTCCAAACTTTTACTGCGTTTAATAAAAGCCAATCCATCCAAACAGAATGAAAACACATTGAATTTTGGACCAGATCCCATGAGACTAATTGAAAAGAGAAGGGAGTTCTCACCACCTTTTTGGTCATTTGGCTGCACTGTTGCTTTTGAGGGACATCGCTGAGCACAGAAAGCCAGCTGCTTTGGCCTACAAAAACAGTCACTACATTTGAAAGCAAACCCTTGTGAGAGTTTATGAGATGTTCCAATGATAAAACTGCAACTTCCTTCCTTTCTTCCTCTCTTTCCTCTCTTTCCCTCCCTTTATCCTTTTTATCTCTTCCTTCTCTCTCTCTCTCCCTCCCTCTCTCCCTCTCTGGCAACCACAGTTTGCCATGGCAATGTGGCTGTTATTGAGAGACTGGTGCTGCGGGTGGCACCGTTGAGAAACGTGGTGAAAGGGTGCCCATCACTTGACATGCAGGAGATCATCTGATCCGCTGCCACGCGGCACATCTCCAGCTCTTTGTGCCGCTCAGTGAAGAGCTCCTTGAATTCCTCTCTGTGGGGAGGATATGATAACTGTGGGGATTCCTGGTATCCCTTTGTAAAGCTGACAATGACGAATAACAAATGTGCCACACACTGGAACGATAGATCATCGCATTACTGAACATCCTGTAATTAGAAACCTAATTAATACCTCCAGCTAATAAATATCACAATAACATGATAACTCAACCTCCCCCCCCCCCCCCCCCACCCCGAGGGACATGTTAACCTCTTTGGTTACGACTCCTCTTTGCAGCGCTTCACAAAGGAATTAGATAAATAGTAAATTTCTATATTTATTTTGGTCAGCTGGGTGGAGTCCTGGAGCTCAGTGCTCGCGAGGTTCGATTTCCAGGCAGCGAAATGTTGGGCAAGTTTTTTTTACTCCACACGCCCCTGTTTACCCAACATTAAATGCTCCCTGCAAAAAAAAAAATAATTCGGTCACTCAATCCACGACTGTTTGTGGGGCTGCTGTGTGTAACCTTCTGCCGCGTTTCACCCACAAAATATAGTCAATTCACTTTACAGTATATTCCGCGAATCGCTTTGAGACGTTTCAAAGATGTGATAAGACGTCATGTCAAATGCGAGGATTAAAGCATTTCAAGACAAGGTCCTATCTACATGCTCTGGTGGTCAGAACAAAAAAAGAGACCAAGATAATAATAATAATCCTTGCATTTGATACAGCGCCTTATCACATCTTCAAAATTTCTCAAAGCATTTCACAGAATATACTGTGAAGTGAATTGACTGTATATTTTGTGGGGGAGACACGGCAGCCAATTGCACATAGCAGTTGATTGGAACAAAAAGGTTGAGGGTTGACCTGATTGAGGTCTTTAAAAACGATGAGGGAGTTTGATAGTCAATATGGAGACATCATTTCCACTGGTCGGTGAGTCAGTGACTAGAGGACATCAATTTAAGATAGTTAGTAAAGGAGCAACTGGAGAGGTTAAGAGAAATGTTTAGACACAGAGCTGTTAGTGTATGGAATTCCCTGCTGGGAGTAGTGGTTGAGGCAGCATCCATATTGGCTTTGCAAAAAAGAACTAGACAAGTATCTAAAAAAGAGTCAACTCGAGGGGTTTGGGGAAAGAGTGGTGAAAGGAATGTTCTTAAAAGAACCGTCAGATACAATGGGCCGAATGTCCTTTGTGCGGTAAATTATTATTTCTTTTGGTTGTCTGGGTGTCCGACACAGGTATACAAACCAGAGTTCTATCCATCTCACCTATCCAGGGGCTCCAAGGTCACACGTTTAGCAATGGAATGTTGGAATCGAGCCCTCTGTGGAGGTCTTGTCATTTAATAATATTAACATTTAGTAATATACATTATTTGTACAGCGCCTTTCACGTCGGGAGGAATTCCCAAGGAGCTGGACAGTCAGGAATTTAGGGATTTGGACCCGAGCTGGGTGGGAGTTGGAATTGGGGAGGGTGGAGGGCAGGGAGGGAAGGGGTAGGATGGTGCCGAAGGCACAGTCGAAGAGGAGTGTCTAGAGACTTGCCTTGAAGGAGGCAAGGGAGGGAGTGAGGTGATGGGAATGTGGGATGGAGATCCAAAGGGAAATGGTAGTCCAGTTCCTGAGCCAGGAGGGGCTGCAGTATTCCAGGGCACTCACTGCTGATGACAGCGCAGCCCGGCCTGGCTCATCGGCAGGACCTGGAAGGGCCGACCAGTCACTGGGGTATAAAATGCAGGGATATTTTTTGGTCACTGAGTGAAAGACCTGACCTTGAAGAGCAGCCAAGCAGATAACCACTTGCACAGCTTGAAGAGCCAGTTGGTGTGCCGGTACAGGTCAGTGTTCACGATTCCTGGGTCCACTGCATTAGCTGTGATGTGGCTCCTCTCGGCTGTGAGGTGTTGCTGCAGTTGGTACGTGAAGAGGACAAGGGCAAGCTTGCTCTGGGCGTAGGCTCCATGGGGTGAGTAACAGGACCTGCAGATAGAAACACAGCGAATGTTCGTATCATTACACTATATCAACGTGAAAGGCGCTATGCAAATGTAATTTGTATTATCGTGGAGTCCTGTAGCTCAGTGGTCAGAGCACTCGCCTCACAAGCAAGAGGACCTGGATTTGATTCCCGGGCAGAGAGAAACGCTAGGCCTTACTCCACACACCTCTGTTTACCAGCAGTAAGTAGGAACCCAGTTGTTAGTCAATTGGCGGATCGCTTTCCAGGGGTAATTATCCCTTCAAAAAAATATGTGGAACAACTGATCCATCTACCAAACAATTCCATTCCAACTGAATCTATTTCGTTTTCAGTGTACGGTTTGGGACACGACATGTCAAGCAAATGCCAGGATGGTGGAAGGTGAACCACCTTCTTTTGCCAGCAAATTCTTATGTTCTTACAGTTGTCTTTGAAGCGCTTGATAGACAAGTGGGGAAGGTGGTTGGGACAAGGACACTGGGATTTGTGTCACAAAACATCTTGAGAACGGGCCTTCTGGAAGGTTGAGATCACCCGAACCGATCTTGCGTGAAAAGGGATCTCCAGTTTGCTGTCCATTTAGAGAGAGAAGGAATTTCTATCTTCTGACCCGTTGACCTACTTACTCTCGCTTCTCCAACAAAAATAAAACATCTTCAGCCAAAATCAATGACTGGGGCCCATCTCGGAGACGTTAATGGCATTTTCTCCGCCATTAATTTTATGGCATATTGTTTGGCTTTCACTGTTTGTGCAGCAGCTTTCAGAGTTTACGTTGGAAAAAAAAATCAATTTTCTTCTCTAACGTGGCTAACTGCTGCACTGATAAAAGCAGACGGTTGCACAGAATCATAGATTTATACAGCACAGAAGGAGGCCATTCGGCCCATCGTGTCTGTGCCGCTCTTTGAAAAGAGCTTCCAAATCAACCCCACTCCCCCGCTCTCTCCCCATAGCCCTGATCAACCCCACTCCCCCGCTCTCTCCCCATAGCCCCGATCAACCCCACTCCCCCCCTCTCCCCATAGCCCTGATCAACCCCACTCTCCCCATAGCCCTGATCAACCCCACTCTCCCCATAGCCCTGATCAACCCCACTCTCCCCATAGCCCTGATCAACCCCACTCTCTCCCACTCTCTCCCCATACCCCTGCAAACTTGTCCTCCCCAAATAATTATCTACTCCTCTCTTAAAAGTTGTTATCAAATCGGTTCCCACCGGCCTTTCAGGCAACACTTTCCAGATCCCAACAACTCGCTGTGTGAAAACATTTCTCCTCACCTCCCCTCTGTTTCTTTTAACAACTCTTTTAAACCGGTGCCCTCGGATTACCGACCCACCCACCAGTGGGAATAGTTTCTTCTTGTTCGAATCCACTCATAATTTTGAAAACTTCTATTTAGTCTCCTCTTAATTTTGTCTGCTCCAAGGTTACGCAAGAAGGCTTAGCTGAGGAAGGGCAGGAGGAGGCTCAGGTGGAGCATAGGCACCGGCATAGACCAGTTGGGCCGAATGGCCTGTTTCTGTGCTGTATATTCCAATGTATTCTAATGTAAGGAGCTTAATCCTAGTGTCTCCGGTCTCTCCTGATAACTGAAGTCCCTCATTCCTGGTACCATTCTGGTCAATCTCCTTTGCTCCCTCTCCAATGCCTTGACATCCTTCCTAAAGTGTGGGGCCCAGAACTGAACACAGTCTCGAGCTGAGGCCTAAACTGTGCTTTATGATGTTTCATCATAACTTCCTGAGTTGTGTATTCTATGCCCTTATTTATAAAGCCTCGTATGCTTTTTTAACAGCTTTATCTGCCTGTCCTGCCACCCTCAAACATTTACTTACATGAACTCTGTGTTCCTTTAAGATTGTCCCATCAGCTTATATTACCTCTCCTCATTCTTCCTGCCAAAATGCATCACTTTACATTTCTCCACATTAAACTTCACCTGCCCCGTGTCTGCCCACTTTATCAGTCTGTCTATGTCCATTTGCAGTCTGTTACTATCCTCCTCACCATTTACCGCTATTCCTCGCTGAGTATCATCAGCAAACTTGGAAATTGTCCTCCCTGTACCCGAGTCCAGGTCATTTGTATAGATCACAAATAGCAGTGGTCCCAATACTGAACCCTGAGGTCACCACTGCCCACTTCCCTCCATCAGGAAAACATCCATTCACCATTACTCTCTGCTTTCTGTCTCGCAGACAGTTCTGTCGCAGACAGTCCTGTAGCTCAGTGGTTAGAGCACTCGCTTTGCAAGCGAGAGACCTGAGTTCAATTCCAGGCAGAGGGCGAAACCTTGGGCAAGTTTCCTTACTCCACACAGAGCCTAATAATAATCCTCCAAAACCAAAAACAATCATAAATTGGTCATTTTCAATCCACGGCTGTTTGTGGGACATTGCTGTGCGCAATTGGCTGCCGCGTTCGCCCACAAATATACAGTCAATTCACTTTACAGTGTGTGTTCTGTGAAGCGCTTTGGGACATCCTCCTGACGTGAAAAGCGCTATATCAAATGCAAGGATTATTATTATGATTATTATTCTGTATCCGCGGTCACTGTCCCTTTAATACCGGGGGCTTCTATTTTGTTTACAAGTCTCTTATGTGGCACTTTATTAAATGCCTTTTGAAAATCCATATAAACTACATCAACTGCACTCCCTTCATCCACCCTCTCCGTTACTGCATCAAAAATCTCTATCAGGTTTGTTAGACATGATTTGCCTTTAACAAACCCGTGTTGACCATCCTTTATTAACCCATATTTTTCTAAGTGACAATTTATTTTGTCCTGAATTATAGTCTCCAGAAGTTTCCCCACTACTGACGTTAGGCTGTAGTTCCCGGGTTTATCCTTCTGCCCCTTTTTGTACAGGGAGTAACATTTGCAGCCCTCCAGCCCTCTGGCACTGCCCCGGTGTCCAAAGAGAATTGAAAGATTGTGGCCAGAGCCTCCGTTATTTCCACCCGTACTTCCCTCAGTAACCCTCAGGATGCATCCCGTCCAGACCGGGTGACTTATCTACCCTTGAGCACCAGCAGCCTTTAAAGTACCTCCTCTCAGTTGATTCTTATCCGATTTCTCTCCCCTCTCCTCCAATACTGTGGCATTGGCTGTATCCTCTTCTTTTGTGAAGACAGATGCAAAGTCCTCATTCAGTACATCAGCCGTGCCCTCTGCCTCCACAAGAAGGGATCCTCTTTGGTCCCTAATTGGACTCACCCTATGTTTGACTAACCTTTTATTCTTGATATGCTTCTAAAGTACCTTAGGGTTCCCGTTTCTGTTACCCGCTAATCTTTTCTCATACAATCTCTTTGCCCCTCTTACTTCCTTTTTCAGTTCTCTATGTTTTCTATATTTTATTTGATTAACTTCTGTATTTTGGACCTGACATTTATCATAAGCCTTTTTCTGTTTTATTTTAATCCCAATTTCCTTATTCATCCAGGGAGGTTTGGATGCCCTCCGTTCCCCTTTGTGGGAATGTATTTGTTCTGTCCCTGATCTGTCTCCTCCTGAAGGCTTCCCATTGCTCGTGAGCTGTTTTACCTGCAATCTTTCTTTCCAGTCCACCTTGGCCAGGTCCCTTTTTAACTCACTGAAATTAGCCTCTTGCAGTTGAGTATCTTCACCTTTTTGTTCCTTGTCCCTTTCCATATATACTCTAAACCTAATGATGTTGTGATCACTGTTGTCCAGATGTTCTCCTACTGAGACCTGCTCCACTTCATTCCCCAGAAGTCGATCCAGCACGGCTTCCTTCCTCGTTGGGCTGGAAACACACTGATCCAGAAAGTTATCCCACACACATTTCAGGAATCCTTCCCCCTTTACGCTGTTATTTTGCCAGTCTGTGTCAGGATAATTGAAGTCCCCGTTATCACTACTCTATTGGTTTTGCATCGTTCTGAAATCTGCTGCAGATTTGCTCAGATCTCTTCTTCCCACCATTTGGTGGTCTATAGTCACACCTAACAGCGTAACAGCTCCTTTTCTGCTCCTTAACTGTAACCAAATAAATTCTGTTTTGGGACCCTCCAGCACATCATCCCTTTCCAGGGCCAAAATCGTGTCTTTAATCAATATTGCCAGCCCCCCTCCCTTTTTCCCTTCCTTATCCCTCCTGAATACATGGTAACTAGGAATATTCAGCTCCATTTCCTGCCCTTATTATTATTGTTGTTATTATTGTTGTTATTATTATAAAAGGATAATTTATTATTAATAAGACGGTGGGGAGATAATAAGATTATTACAAGGATTGTTATTATTATTATAAAAGAGGGCAGATGGGACCTCGGTTTTGACATTTGATCTAAAAGACGGTGCCTCCGATAATGCAATGCTCCCCACCCCCTCCCTATTCCCGCAGCGCTGCATTAGAGCGTGAGCCAAGAGCGTGAGCTCAGAGTCCTGACTTGGGGGCTTGAACCCACAACCTTCCTGGCAGCAGTGCCCCAGACTATTCCTTCCCGTCTGTGGAGAGCCGGGGAGGTCAGTGCGAGGAGAAACGGTGCTGACAGGGTGAAAGGAGGCTTAAAATGTGTGCAAATGTCACTGCAGTACGTACGTGCTTGGAATAAGAGGAAGCGATGGGTACTTTAAGTCACTATCTGATATCCTTCCAAATGGCTAAGTGCCAGCAAGCTGTCCATCACATCCCAGTGCCTGTTGTTACATTACCCTTTAAACCATGCAGAAACAGTAAAAACACCTTCTACCCTTTAACTCCGTGCATTTAGTCAGAGGAACCAGCAGTGCAGCTCAATGTCTGTGAGATAATTAATAATAATAATAATTATGCTTTCATCTGACGTCGAGCCCTTCACGTCACAAGGACGTCTCCAAGTGCTTCAGAGCATTTGCTGTGATCTGTGGCAACTATGTTTTATGGAAGGCGAACCCGGAGTCCATTTTGCACACAGATCTTCAGAGGATCTTAGGGATCTAGACGTAAAAAGGTCAAAAAGGTCGATCGCGTCTGCCTTCC